GTATGTATGTATGTATGTATGTATGTATGTATGTATGTATGTATGTATGGCATTAAGATTGTAATATATGTATTTTCATATAATGGATAGCGATGTTAATGTGTTATTTAGACAGGCGTTCAAAATTCTGCTGTTATTTCCTACAGTAACAAAACAGCATTCCTAGAAATCCTGCATTTTTCTTTCTTGACTGGGCCCTCTTGACCTCAAAAGGTGACATCACTCTTGAAAGTCTCTCCAAGTTTCTTTCTGTCCTACCTTATTTTAAACCAAATCTAGGTGGGGTTATTTTGAATTTCTTTCTCATCTCTGGACTATATAATCTCTTGTCCAAGTTCTTCCATGAAAGCTCTTTCATACTTTCCCAAAGATCAGCTCTAAATTCCTCTACAATAACATACATTTAACCCTGTATGGACATTCCAGCTTTAGCAACAATTCACAGTTTAGCAATGATGAAAAAGTGGTTTTATGACCAGTTCCTCACATTTACAACTTTGCAGATGTTAAGCAAAAAATAAAATAAAAATCCAAAGTAAGATTGTAAACACAGTTGCTGATTCACTTAGCAACTGCTTCATTTGCCAACCAAGTTGCCAGGCTCAATTAAGATAGCTAAACGAGGACTACCTATAGTCAGCTGATTGTGTAATGTTTTATACTATGTTAAATGGGATAATACCAAAAATGAAGATCTTGGTATAATCTAATAACAGTTTTCTAAATAGGAATTCTGACTAGTTTCACACTGGCTTATTGCATGTATATTGTATGAGAAGTAATAACTGTTTCATACCGTGTATTGTTTTTAGATTTATAGTAATAGTGTAGGCAGTCATTGCAATGGTCTGGCCCTGGTCCACCACATCCAACCTTACTGCACTCTGCATTGCAGGGACCTTTGAAAAAAAGACAAAGAATCCTTGTATTTTTATTGCCTTATAGAAATTACTTCAAGTCCATTTTGTATCAGATAGCTTGGAAGTTAAAAAAAAAAATCAAAACTGAAAATATTGCATACATACATATGTATGTATAATTTTTATTAAAAATTTTAAATAAGAAGGTAAAAGCTAACACAAACCAATAGAAAGGAAAAAATAAAAGTAAAAAACAAAGTACAAGCAAAGAAATAAAAGTTGAAGGAAAGTAGAAAAGAAAATATAAAGTGGCTTGTAAAATATTGTTCATAGCAGTTATAAATGCAAATATTCAAAATATCTATAAGAACGTAAGTTATAAGAAAAAGTATTGAATAGAAATCAAAGTTACTAGAGACCTCTTTTTTGGCTTGGTTGAGGAAATGGATAAAGGGCAAGAAAAAAATCTTGCTATATTAATGATATTATTTTAAATATAATAATTAATGTTACCTGAGTAGTCATCTAGTCCATAATCTTCCGTAGGGTCTTCAATTGGACTCATGCGTACTCGTTCGCCTTTTAAAAAATCATTTCTTGGGGAGTAAGGCTGTATGGATGTCCCGTAAAGTACTAAGGACCATTCTTTCAATTTACCTAGGTGAATCATATTGGGAAGACATGAAATTCCATGAGGAAATGTATTCTCTTTGATATTTATGGTAGCATATTTCAAAGAACTGTCAACTTTACCTGTTGCTGTTGAAACTATCTGGCTCAGGACACGAGGGATGAACTGCCCAATGAAGAAGAGAAGAGAAGAAACACTCTACTCACTGTTGCAATTGGGGGAGCTCTTCCTCCCTCCCTCATAGAACCTATTGAGATGAACTGCCCTGCGAGGAAGTGCCGGACGATCAACTGTTCTGGAAGTGGTAGGATCATCTGGCTCTTTGTATAAAGGATTCACTACAGCTGTGTTTGCTAGTTATCTCTTTCCTGTTATTCCTCTTTTTATTTTTTCCTCTCTGCTGTGCCTTTTTAGATGTCAAGCCTAAAATGTTTCATTATTCTGCATGGAGTGGTTAATATTGTTGTAAAGATAATGAAAGCAAGGGAGACAGTGACTATGGGCACAGGCGGACTAGATTCCAATTATCACCCCTTCCTTGTTCCTCAATTTTAAAACCTAACATGATGGCACAGATTAAAGAGCTTCAGGTTGTTCACCATTGGGGGCCAGTTCTGCTTTGGGACCCAGAGAGCTATATAAGACATATAAATGTGCATGAACATACTTAAAAACATATTAATACAAAACATTGTTTTTTCTTTTCTTGCATCTCTTCAAACCTACCAATATGAATTTGCAATTTTAGTATTAGGAGGAAGACAGGAAAGTGAGTTTTGAAATGCTGTAATAAATAAAGCATTATAATAAAATATCACACTTATTCAAATAGCTTATTTAAAATTATTTATATTATTTATATATGGAACTGGAAATATCAAGAATTCCTTGAGTTAATATCAACTCCTGGTGATTATATAGACACATTATACAGTTTTCTTGGCAATAGTATGGAATGGTTTGTCACTGCTTCATTCTTAGCTTTTGTTTTTGCTAGGCTTCTGTCCTAGTCTTCCTGGCAATCTCCTATCCAAGTGCTTATTAGATTCAATCTGCTTAGCATTTTCATGATAAGCAAAAGTTGTCATATGTGTTGCATATGAGAATATGCAACACATTTAAATTATATTGCTGCTTATGCTCAGTCTTTCTAACTCCAAAAATTATTAAACATAATTTCCAGGTAGAGTTTTCTTTAGTGTGAATGAATTAGAGATGATAAAATATGAGAAGATTGTAGCAAAGGCATTGTTCTTCATACAACTATGCCACTTCATTGTTGTGTAGGAATTCATATGACTAAAACACATTATTCCATAGGCAGAGTTTCATATTTCATCAGTTACAATGCTGTTCAAAGCAAACAACACATTCAATTGCAAATGATGAAATGCTGAACAAATAACAATACCAGATCAAATGATGAATGTTTATGTGTGAATTGTATCCTGACCATTTAAATAAAATACTTAACTAAAAGAATTTGTAGCAAAAATGAAAAATGAGATGATTCAGAGGGTAAAATTATTGGTGACTTCTCTGTAATCTTGGGCATGAGGAAAAGATATTTCTATCCATATTTTTAGCACCAGGAATTCCTGTACAGCCAATCAATATTACAACAAATAGCCCATTATCAGTGAAGAGTTGACAACCAAATATTCACTCCTATTAATATCAGCATCCTACATTTGCACAAAATAGCTATACCAGTACAATCCAGTCAGCCCTTTGAAGTAGTGCAGACAAGAATAATAAATCATGAATATTGGCACTGTCATTATTATAAAGTAGCAATATCAATAGCACTTAGACTTATATACTGCTTGATGGTGCTTTACAGCCCTCTCTAAGTGGTTTACAGCATCAGCATGTTGTTCCCAACAATCTGGATCCTCATTTTACTGATCTCAGAAGGATGAAAGGCTGAGTCAACCTTGAGTCAGTAAAACTTTAACTGCAGCTGGCAGTCAGCCTGCAGTACTGTATTCTAACCACTGCACCACCATGGCTCCAATAACAGAAAATTTAGTCTGAAACCCATTTTCCCTTGCTTTCCTTACCTTTTCAGAAAAGTAGAGAAAGTCCCTTATGAGTCATTCTCATGTTATTTCTCCTTCTGTAGATTGAGATAATTTTTACATGACCATCATCTAGTCCAGTGGCCCCCAACCCTTTGGGCACTAGGGACTGGTTCCATGGAAAGAGGTTTTTCCATAGACCAGAGATGTGGTTTGCATCCTGTGGATGGGACTTTGCTTGCTTGCATGGCTGATTGCTGGCATGACATGGTGCTGGTTCACAGACTGGGAGTTAGAGACCCCTAGTCCACTTTATGTCTCTTCCCGACATTTCCCAGTCATTTCCACATATTTCAAATTCTGAATGCAACACCTTTTGTTGTATCAATCTTTAATTAAAGAAATAGTAGTGGCAAATAACTTCAGCAGTTCCAGAAGCATGGGGTTGTTTGAAGCATTCCGTTCCTATTTAATATCTCACAAAACCAGCGGGTAGGTCTATCCTTTGTCACAGAGTTTTTAATGGTAATTTTGTGATTTGTGAGCTGCCCATGTATTTTGAGTTTAAGATACAAAAATATGTAAATATTCTAGATGAATAAATAAACTGTTCTGCATATGATTGTATGTATAGTCTGAATTACAAGCAACTGATAGGATACTGCTGACTTATATATGAGGCATCCCCATTGTTTTTGCTCTCTAATCCTCAGAAACCATTTGATGTCTTTGCTTTTGCTAATGTGAAATGCTGACATAAAGAAGTGAAAATTACATCCCAACCAAAACTCATTTAGGTCCCGCAGCAATCCAAAATCTTACTCTCTACAGCACCCAAAAGGAAGAGATGGAAAATTGAAACTTCTCTAGGCTTTTCTTATTACCCCCCTCTGATATTGAAGAGAATGGAGAGGCTGACAAAAAAACAAAAAAAAACTTACCATCATTCTTCTGTTCATTTTCTCTGAGTAGAACAGATAGAGTTTCAAAACCTTAAAGCTTGTATTTGCTGTAACCTGAACCTCAAGTTCTAGAAGGTGAGGCAAGGTAAGATTTCTCTACTAGCTTCACAGCAATCTCAATTAAACTACAGCTGATCTAATCAACTGAGTTATCTAACGTTATTACATAGAAACACAGAAATCTGAAGCTGCTTTATAAATGCCTCAGAATCCTGTAGTTGAAATGCTGTTAGTTAAATCTCTGTGAAAAAGCATTTTATGGTGTCAAAATTGGAGGTTAATACTTCTTTTGTCATCTCCACAATTGGAGTATCACCCAATCTTCCCAGCAGATATCATGGCTGAGTGTGTAAAAGTCATTTGATGATTAATACCAAGGTTTTCTGGCTATTGATGCTGGAAGACTTTTACATATAGCAAAAGAGGTTTCACTTTTTGAGTCTAAACAATATTTTATCTTTATAACTCAACTCAGCAACTACACTGTGCTATATTACATTAAATAGATAAAAAGTAAAGTGAATAACCAACAGAATAACTTGTTCATACCTGGAGTCTTTACATTTCTTAGTTGAGATGGAGTATCATAGATTTCTAAAATCCAATCACCTGCTGCTTTTTCACCCCAGCAGTGAGTTGTCATGAACTCCCAGTTTTTAAAACCTTCCATAGAATGGTCAAATAATCTTTTAAAGAAAAGCACAATAATGTATGTATAAACACAGAAGAAAAATATATTTATTAAAAATTGCATTTAATGCAATTGATCATAATCTATATGGGTTTCTGTCAGATTCCAACATCTTTAAGTAAAGAATATAGGGATCTTCATAAGGATTCTGGAAGTCATGCTGCATTTTGGAACCACTAGCTATGACCCAACTTTTATGAGTATAAATGCTAATATAAATGGTCAAATTGCACAAATATTCTGTTAATAAATCTAACAATAATAAAGCACAAACATTTAAAAAATTTAGACGTTTGTGAACTATAAGTGACATTATTCATATGGTCTGGCATGATTTTATTTTAATATATCTAACCTATGTATGCCATAATTGTGAAATAAGAAAGTGAACATTAACTCTTAGCTATCATTGCCAAATTATTAATCAATAATAATGGGCCAAGTGTAATACTATTTATGTATTTCAGTTTCTTCTGAATTAATAAGTCAATATACAAGCGATCATGGAGACAAATTTTCATAAAGATTTATTTTTTCCTTCAACTGTTTTTTTTGAACTACTGTTCTTATTCTACTCTTTCATAATTTGCAATTATCATTTCCAGTATTGAACAAAACTATTGCAAAAGATTACAGTTATTTTTGCCTCTATTAATGCTCATAACAAAATTTGAGATTTCCACTTGATTTCCATCCATTTCCTGAGTGGTTCCTCAATTTATCTTTTTAAAAAGTTCATACATTTTTTTAAGCGCACCCAATTTGGAAAATGAACTTCCATAAAACTGAAAGTTAAGTACCTGTTGGACAATAGCTGAGATCTTGTTCCAGAAGGAGAGGTTAAATAAATTGCCAGATCACCTCTCCGAGGATGTGTAATAGTGATTCGTACCACCACATGTTCCAGATATATTACATGGTGATTGGCATTGTCTGCACATCCTGTGGCTTTGTATATTGAACGAACGCCATTATCTGGTCCATTACGAATATTATCTGGTCGTATTGTTCTGTTTGAAAAATACATGCCAAATTAAATATCCAATGACTATGATAAATTTATCATATCTAAAACATCTCTGAAATACAGCTAGTCCTCAACCTACAACAGTTCATTTAGTGACTGTTTGAGGTTACAAGGGCACTGAAAAAAGTGACTCAACCAATTTTCACGCTTACAACCATTGCAGCATCCCCATGGTCACATGATCAGAATTGGGGTGATTGGCAACTGGCATGTATTTACAATTATTGCACTAACCTAGGGTCATGAAATCACCATTTGTAACCTTCCCAGCTGGCTTATGACAAGCAAAGTCAATCAGGGAAAGCCAAATTTGCTTAACAATGCCATGATTCACTTAAATACTGCAGTGATTCACTTAACAACTGTGGCAAAAAAGGTAGTAAAATGGGGCTCACGTGACAACTGTCTTGCTTAGCAGTAGAAATTTTGGGCTCAATTGTGGTCATACATTGAGAACTACTTGTATATTTTTTCCTCCTCTCTCTGTCTGTGTAAGGCTGTGAGAATCATTTGGAGAAGTGCTTAATAAACCTACTGAAACTTATGAACCTATTACCCGAACTGTTAATTGTTACTCCCTTGAAAAGTGGCATGGATAATTCAAAGGCTCCCCTACATTGTCTGAGTATCCATAGATTGAATAAGCATGGAGCATGTCCAAACAGCACGCAGAAACTCTTATTGAGCATAATTTGCACTACTTTTTTTTCAGCAAGGAGCAAAGAAGATCCTGTTTAACAACTAGCTTATAAAAACATTCATGTAAAAAAAAAAGTAGCCACCATTCACAGTCTCAGTAAATATATTGGTCAATATCTTTAATAAAAGTTACTTGATTTGTCGATCTGTGTTTTCAATGCAGACATGCTGTGGAGGGACAGTTGTCCACTTTTCTGCTTCTACCACCATGGCTTCAGCATCCATCAATCCATATCCATATAAATGGCTGACTACAAAACATAAAACATTATTCTAATCTCGGAGTAGTTATTTTCGTTTTCGTACAACTCAAAGATTTATACTCTATTTAATTCCTTTTACTCAAAAATACATTGTTTCATAATACTACATGTATCCTGTCTTCTTAAAACTGCCAGCTAGAGCTGCAATAATTGGTCTGATAATATTTATTATTAATGTAGGTTTTGGGTTTGATGTTTACATATACGATCAGTTTATTTTTCTCCATATGATTTTTGCAATCAGGGCAAAGATAGTGAAAGGCATCACTAGCAGGAGAAAGCTCCACTATATGGAGAAAGCTGTAGAAAATTAGATAAAGAATTTTAAAAGGTGATGGGAATAATTCTTGGAAGCAGAGCATATATGTTTTAATTTATCCCATGCTCAATACATCCTGAGTTTTGTGGGTTAAATTTATGCGTTATAACTCCCACCAGCCCTGAGTTTGTCTTGTTGGCTTTATCCAATGACACACAATTTAGCAAGTCCAGCTAATAGTTTGTCAAAGTATTAGAGATAAGAGTTAGGTCTTTAATAACCATTATTAATCAATGATATACAAATATCATGATAGAGACTAAAGTGTTGTATCCAAAGCAGGGTAAATTATGGGCTTAATACTCCATTAACAATTTACATTGTAAGTTTTAAGAATAGAACTGGGACTGCTCTCCATGTTAGGAAATAAATTGCAGTACTTTGAGGACTGATATCAGTAAATCTGATGGATTATCTGGAGAAATACACATTACTTTTTAAAAACCAAGATCTTTGTATTATTCCCATCAAAAAATAGCCAAAATGTATTCATATGGTCACTTTTAAAAAAATTCATTTTTCATTCTTGAAAAAAGATTATCACTCAATACTATAATGTCTAGTTTAATTTGCCATGAATGTCACTACTCTTAATGTTTCAAACTGGTTTTGGTGATGAATAATGAGTACAGTCTGATGTACCCTACCATTTAAAAAAATGCACACGTAATATACATTTAAGTATAATCCCTCCTCAATCCAATTCAAGAAGAATCACGCTGAGCAGTTATTAAAGTTTCCATATGGAAATGTTCCAGACAACTGATGGATGGCTGTCTGAAATGCACTGTACTTTCAAGTTTCTGATCAAATGGATTGGTCCAAGCAGCTGCCAGAATCAAGACAAACCCATCATTTTCACAGACTAGATAATAACAATTTTGGGGAAACATTACAGGTTTGCTAAAACTAGCCGATCCTCTGCATTTTGAATGGGGGGGGGGAACATCCATCCAATCTCACGCTATAAAGTTATCCTTTTATGTGTGTGTAAATTAAAGCTGTGAGGGTTATTTTTACTGATATTAACCAATCCTAGAACCTCTTGAAGGCATTATGTTCACATCTTAGAAATGACTTTTAAGTAATACTTAAGACTGTAATTGCCTGAAAA